ACCGTTATAAGATAAAATAGCAAAACCGGCTTTTGCTGCAATATTCAGTTTGAATCCAGAGATTTCCCCTGCGGTAATCTACCTGAAACTAGATGTCCTCCAGCCTGATGGCCGGCATCTTCCTCTGAGCCCAGGTTGTGCTGGACCCGCCCCCAGCCTGTGATTGGACAGTAAAAAGGAGAAACAGCGCAGTGATGAGCTCATCCCTGTGTCACTCTGCTCTCTCCCCCTATCGGCATGTGAACTGTCTGGCTCCATGTGCTGCTTCTTCCTCTCACACTTCAGACCTGCTGTACAGAGACGGTAAGAAGCTGAGTGTCCCTCAAAAAGTATTAAAGGACAGGAAGTCAGCTGTGCACAGCTAAACATCTTCCCCTCAGGGTCACATCTCCATTATTTATTCTGTAAGTGAATAAAGTTTTTATTGGGCCCCGATATCTCCATGAAGAGGGCGGCCAGTTCATACACAACGGCTCCTGATATTTATCTCCGCTCAGTCTGCAGCAACAACACCACATCTCTGGTTTAATATTAACCGGGTGACATCAGCGATAAAGCTGTGAAAGGAGGTCAGAGATGAAGTGACGGCCTGTGTACACACGTTACCTAATCCATGTCCTTAAAGACTCCGCAATCTGATTCCATCTACAGCCCGTGCGTCCCAAACCCCCCACCTGACACCCCCACAGACTGAGAACTTCCATCTGAATGTCTGCAAATCACTCAAATCTCATCCAAGCTTCAACACGATTATTGTCATTACACAAACTTCCTCCGTGATGTCACCGCTCTCTATGGATAGGCTGCATTCTCAGTGTTGTCACCGCTCTCTAGTGAAGGGATAGGCTGCATTCTCAGTGATGTCACCGCTCTCTATGGATAGGCTGCACACTCAGTGATGTCACCGCTCTCTAGTGAAGGGATAGGCTGCATTCTCAGTGATGTCACCGGTCTCTAGTGTATGGATAGGCTGCACACTCAGTGATGTCACCGGTCTCTAGTGAACGGATAGGCTGCATTCTCAGTGATGTCACGGGTCTCTAGTGAAGGGATAGGCTGCATTCTCAGTGATGTCACCGGTCTCTAGTGAAGGGATAGGCTGCATTCTCAGTGATGTCACTGGTCTCTAAAATTTTATTTTTTGTTTTTACATGGGCTCTGGCAGGGAAAGGGTTAACGTGTGGTTGCCACATTGGCGTGAACGCGATTTTGTCACATGGGTCGCAGATATGCGTCTTCTGCTGACAGTGAAAGGAATAATCTGAAGACATACAATGAATCATTCCGCCGCTCGCTGTG